ACCTGATCCTGTTACTGTCTGTTTACCGAACCGTCCCCTTTGACAGTCAGTCCTTTGTCCTTTTTGTGCGCGTTCACAGCCACAGCAGTATATTTAAGCCTGAGCCTAAGAGTGGCAGCACAGATCGACGCCATCAATGATAAAAGTCTTCAAAGACTTTTTCAAAACACCAGCCTCTCTGCTGGATCCACCTGCTGCTCCAGCCATGTACTGTTTTACTTCCTTTTGAGTTTTTAATGTTACTCAGCAGGGCAGAATGGGGAAAAAGGGCAACCTGACTCTTAACAGCAGGATGGCCAAGCCATTCTCTGCTGCTCAGGGGGGGATGCTTTTTTTCTTTTTTCTTTCAGAAAGCAACACAGGAGTGGCTTCACACCTGTCGTCTGTGAGGGTTACTTTGGAGGAAACTGAATAATGAATGCACTCATTTATACTTGTACAAAAACTGGATAACAATGATAGCTCAGTACTGACCAGTGTTGGTCAGTGATTGACATGATTATAGATCGGCATGTATAATAATAGACCTCTGGCCTAGATGATCAGATGGTAAGGGGACAGATTATCTTCTGGGCTCCCATGGCATAACCCCAGGCATTAATGTTAATGGAAAAGCACATGACCTTGCATTTGCCCCCGTGCAGCTGCGTTTTCAATTGCAGGGCCGTGTTGTGGAGGAGACGGCTGCAGTGGTAATTCAGGCACCTGATACCTGCGCATTAAAATAGCTTCTTTTCTGTTTTTTGTTTTTTTTTCATTTGCCCACTCTCCCGTGGGGTCCAGTTAAGGTTTCCTGTGCTCCCTGAGGTGAGAAGAGAAGAGCAGCAGAGAATCTGAAGGAGTGTTTGCCATCATCACTGTAAAGATAGCTGAAGATAGATGTGTTGTGCCAGATGTCATTTGATCCCATCGCTGAGCAGGAGGCCAAAGTTTAGCCCGTACTGTTACATTCCATCCAAGGGACGTGGTCGCTGGGCTGAAACAGAACATCCTTTGTTTTCAAAGGGCACAGCCTATTTAATGTTGTATAAAATCACTGTGATGGAGTTAGCTCTGCAAAGTATTGCTTTCCAGTGATCTTCTCATACTGGGGGAAAAAAAAACAAAAAAAACAAAACAGCGATTGTACCAACGCAACACAAACAGGCTTTGTCGAAGGAGCTTTAAATGCTCAGATGGAAAAAGGACTGCCGGATAATATAATGTTGTTTTTTTTTTTATAAACATCATGCGGAGAAAGTGCATCTGAATATGACTCTGAGGGCCGTCAGCACAGTTTAATTACATTAAGCGACAGCTAAATTGGACATTGCAAACAGACAGGGCTTAACGGATTACTGGACCTCGGACAGAGTGAGATCAAATTTTACCTTTGAGCATGAAACAGTATGCCCTGGTCCTGGCAGCCATGGAGACATGGAGATGAGATGGAGAATGGGGTCAGTGGTGGCCAGCCAGACAAATACACTTCCCAACATTATACAGTATTTTTCAGAAGACTAACCAGGCACAGCAGTTTGGGTTATCTATTTTTGAATAACAGTTTAACCACTGTTTAAATATGGGCTTCTGAATCTATTTTTTAATTGTTATTGATGAAAATAGAGTTTTAAAAATGGCAAATTATGACCAATTTTTCCACCCCACCCCCCACCCTCAAAGTCCTGCGTCTTCATTATTTCAAAGCAGGTGTAACTCACTCCTCCCACACAGTTTTCTCGGCCCATGCTCAGCGTCTGTGCAGACACAAGTGTCAGTACTGTGATGGATGCTGTGGTGGATATTGTATTTCTGTCTCTGTCTGTGAAGGTTCTCAGTCATCTAGGTCATACACCCCTGAGAAGTCACAGTGAAACAGCCTAGGGCAGTCCAGTGGTCATCTTCCCAACTTCTCAGGAATTGAGTCTCTATTTTAACCTGTTTAAATTTACCTGATTAAAGAAAAGCTTGATTCAGTTATAACAGTTATAAAGTTGCATATTGCTTTTGTATTAGAAAGGAGGAACAGGTTCCAGTTTCTGTTCGTTTCTGCCAGTGTTGTGTTTCACGTTGAAGATGGTGTATTGTAAATTACAACAACAACAATTGGCTGTTGTAAGGCAGGAAATCAACTGCTCAGAAGTTTGTCTTCCTCCTGTTGATGTTCGTAGTTTTCTTTTTGAGAAGAAAAGCTCTGAATACTAAGCTGCAGTGTGACCTATTTAAGGACATAAATGGCATAAAACATGGTTTTACTTCCTGGCAGGGAGTCGTGGGCACATCTTTCTCATGTGTAGATTGTAGACCCAAATGAACCCAAGCATCTACGAACAGCTGAGCCCCAGCACTGTAGGGTAATATAGGCAACATCTGTTCAAAACCCTAGAAAACTTTCCTCTGTTGTCATTTAGTTTACTTTACGTTAATGACAGAAGTCCAGCAAGAAACTCACAAGGCAGTGACACCCCGACCTAACCAATATGGTACCATACTGGTATCGGTATTGGACTGCATGATTCATTTATATTTTTACATTTAGCAGGAGTATTGGACTGCATGATTCGTTTATATTTTTTACATTTAGCAGATACTTTTATCCAAAGGGACTTACAAGGATTCATGGTGTCATGGATTCATGGCAGGCGTGCTAACTGCTACAATATGGAGCTGACATTCAAATACTTGATGAAATGATCAACAGTATCAGACGTTTGGAGGTATTTCAACATCAAATTTGTTAAGATAAGTTGATAATCTACCTGTAGAGGTACCTTAGTGCTGAATCTCTCCTTAGTGCTACAACATGCTCTGTAAATGATACTTTGAAATAAATCTGGCTGTTATCATTTTCCTGCTTACTCTGCTGTACACACACTGCTTGTTACCCTATTGCCCACAGCTCTGTGCCACCAATATAAAACTGCCTTCCAGTTCAGTGCAAATGTACTGAGACCCAACCCAAGAAAGTATCAGAACCGGTACTCGTTATTTGGGATTACAAAAAAGGAAAACACTCGTTTCTTAAATGGTTTCAGGACAACCCTTTAATAAGGCGTACCGATCTTTTTCCACCTATTCAACACAGTAGTGGGTCCTTGCTGCCGTACTCGTCAGAAGAAAACACCCACAGGTGTAAATCTGTGCTGACAATTTATTATTAGCTGCTGGCTCTCTGGGTATCCCCACTCCCCTAGAAACTAACTGCTGTTTCTAAAATTGTCCTTTAACTACTACTTGGGTGAGATCAGGGGGGAGTCTGTGGCACTTTAAACTGCAGTTTTCTCAATAACCATAGTGCAGGCCGTCTTAACCATAGGATACAAACCTCTCCAGCTCACCGAGAGCCAAATAAAGAGGTGGAGAAGAAGTAGAGAGAGGCAGATGAAAGCAGGCACCCAATATATTAAACCTCAGCTCTATTAGATATGAGCTTCTGCTGAGGTGGAGCAGCATGGCTTCAGGCAAAGATATGGCTTGCTTATTGTGCTGCAGCGGGGGGGCCGGGGAGCCTGTGTAGCCACTGTGATGATTTCATATACAACATGCAGCCTCTCATGCATGATTTACCATACACGAAATTCTACTATAACTGAAATATTAAAACAGCGACCTTGATAAATGATTGCGCTCAAGATGCAAAATTTGTCATATCACATACCGTTTATGTTTGAACAGCTGTTCCTCCCCGGAGGGCAAAGAAATCAGTCGTAGTATTTAAGCTCATTGTGACGAACAAAACTGCAGTATAGTCCACTTCAACCTCAGACGTCTGAACTGACTGACTATCATTAAGTGTATGAACATGCAGTAATGCGTAATAGCAGCCTACTATCGTGGTGTGCTACGTAATTGTTGCCCTCTTACCCCTACATTGTGTTGTGATGACCACAGAATGGGGTGGACAAAGAAGCTGTGGCGTTTAAACACCCACATCTGCAGCTGTAATGCTATAATGGTGGTGATTTTTTTTTTCACCTAACCAATGATATTTCCTGTTGGTGGTGGGAACAAATCACTCCGGCATGTAATTTCCTCATGAATAGTAGGTTTGTGCTGTCTAAACTACATGTTAAGTTCACAACAATAAGTGGTGTTGATGATAAAAGGATGAATGATACAGTAAATACAGGTCTCCATCTCTGTACATGAGCAAACCAGACTTGTTGCACCGTATTTAATCGTAGTTTTCTTTATCATTTTGTTTAGTCCGCCCCCCCCCGGCCCAAGCCTATGTCAATGACGCCACAATCTATTGTAACGTAATATGTGTCAGTGGCATCACAGTTAATGTCTGTTTCCTTTTGATGTTGTGCCTGAAAGCATCTGACAATCAGAGGGGTATTAGAGGGTTGGAGGGATTCCACTTTGACTAAGTGGCATTTACGGCTGTGGAGTGTTTAGCTACTCTCAAATTCATAATGACTCACAGTGCTTTTGACACACTGTTGTGCTGATACTTAGCGGCTTGCTTTTCTGACTGTACTGAGGAAAGTTTGCCTCCAGTGAGCCTGGTGGAACCAGTTCTACAGCTGTTTGTTTTGTCAGCACAAAACATCAGTTTATGAAATCTGAAATCCATGCAGATGCAGATAGGAATCTGCATCTGCTGCTTTTTCTTGTATGTTTGTATGCTGTAAGCCAAGGCAGACAGATGTCATGAAGCTTTCTTAATCTTTAAATGCAGGGTTTTTTAATCATCTAACATAATAGGGAATAATAGAAAAAATAATTTATTTGATGAAAACATATTCACTTTACACCACCAAAAACACATAGATCTAGGTGTATGAAAAGGCCAAGGCGATATTACTAGGTCACGTTAAGGGGACTTGGTTTTGTTTTAGTTTTGTCACCAGAACAAAGTGCCGATAACAGGTGTTTCATTGTTTTAAAAATGTACTTCCAATAGTTAGCTCACCTCTGAATGGTGGATAGAAGATGGCGCAGAAGAACAACAAATTAGCCACGATTTAGCCACTGAACATCATCAGGTACTATTAAAGGGCAGGTACGGGGCTTACCTTTGGGTGGTTCGTTGAGGAGAGTTGACAGATCCTGGATGTGTAGGAACAGAAGCACACCTGCAGTGGAGAACAACACGAGGAGTGAAGCTAGAAGGGGCAACCTTCTCCTCCGGCCACACAGGGAGTCCACCACCATCTTCAACCTGGTGCGCAGCATGACGTCACACAGCTGGGGACTTCTTTATTGCAAACTGCAGGATGAAAAAGAGCACAGGGACAGTAAGGGAAGGTAGTGAGGATCCGAGACAAAAGGAGAGACTGATTAACACAGGATTTTCCTAAAGTGTTTTTAAGCCCAGTACTGACGGCGGAAGAACAAAAGACAATGATCACAGTAAAAATAAAGTGAGTGAAGGTAGAAGAAGTCATTGAGTAAAGGCTTTGTGAGAAGGAAATAATTTATATATGTCTTAAGAGCTGATCTGCTAACAAAACCCACTACATTTTAAAACACTGATTTTATGAAGTTTTGATGAATAAGAAATCTGGGCAAAATTGTCTAAATAGTGTCACTGTTTGACTGGGACCAAAACAAGTGACCCTTTTGCTGCAGATGAATCACGTCTAACCCCAAAGTCACTGTAGCCCCAGGGAACAGAATTCCATTTCTGTAACGTTGGTTGTCTCCGAAATGTTGTGATGTTGGGTTTTTTTTTTTTTTTTTTTGAAAAGCCTGAATGGTGGCGTGACAGAAATGTCCTTCCTGTGAGAACATGGTGAGCATTTCAAGTTTTTGTCTACATGTAAGGTGTAATTCTATCTTTCTCAATGACCACATATTCTGTAACACCACAAACAGAGCATAAGATTGAATACAACAGGACCCAATATCTTAGACAGAAATGTCCTTCCTGTGAGAACATGGTGAGCATTTCAAGTTTTTGTCTACATGTAAGGTGTAATTCTATCTTTCTCAATGACCACATATTCTGTAACACCACAAACAGAGCATAAGATTGAATACAACAGGACCCAATATCTTTTTTTTTTTACTGCATGTTTTTAAGCAACTCTGAAAGAATAAAACATAAAGAGTTAAGACTGGGAAATGTTGTGTTTTAAAGAGCACAATAAAGTCTAACTGCCAGCACTCCACTAAAGTGGTAATATTATTTTAGCAATAATGGCATTCAAAGCGTAAACAAACAAACAGCGTGAACACATGAACACGCCTTCTGTGTATTTTCGGTGACATGAGTGACCAGGACAGAAACACAGGTAAAATCAGTAGTTATGAAAAACTTTGCAGTAAGGCCTAAATTAGCCTAAGTAAAGTTTTGATTAAATCTCAAGTCAAACCAGTCTGTGTTTGATTAGAGCAAAGTTTGATTTGTAGTCTGATTTGAGTAAAATGTTTTTTTCAAAATATGACAAAATACAATCAAAATGTAAGAAATGCACAAATAAATGATCCACTTTCCCGTTAACTCGTGACATTCATGCTTTATAACCTGTAGTTTCTCTCGACGGTAGAACTTTATACTCCATTTAAAAATTCAATAATTCTGCCACCTGGCTTCTTGCATCTTTACTTCAATTGTGAAATTCTACCCCGTTGAAGACGAGCAGGTCCTAAAGCGTAGCCTGAACAGTGACTTTTAAGACACAAAACACATTTTGACGTTTTTTTGGTTGGAAAAAAAAAGGAGCGGGGGGTTGGGGGGAGGGGTAGCTGTTATAACAAAGGACATCCAGCATATGTAACATTAGATGAAGGTCTTTCTGCTGCTGAACAATGATGGAACCTCCAGCCATATTCAGTTACTGTTAGGGATAGAGTCTATACAGGCAACCAATAATGGGTTTTGACTGGAGAAAATAACTTAGCTTCATCAACTAGCTGTTGCATTTCTTTTGCTGAGATGAACAACAACAACAAGCCGAATTAAAAATAATAATAATAATAATATTGACAGGGTTGTAATAGCTTTTGATTTTAATCTTTAACTGTCACAGGTATGGAAAGGAGCACAACCAGGTCTGGATTAACTCTAGCACTACAGCTAGCAAATGCAGAGGCGGGATCTGGAATCAACAGGCAGGAATCGTAGTCACGTGATAAAACTCACCTTTGTGCTTATGTTTATGTGTGTATAACAGTATTTTAAATATGTATTTCGACTTTAAACTACTCATCAGTAAAAGTTAGTACTTTAGTACTTTAAACTACTCATCAGTAAAAGTTACAGCTTGAGATACTCGCGACAGACAACCAGGCAGACACACGGAGACAGAGACAGTGACAGAGATCAATAATTGTTGGCTACTAAACCACATAAGGAAGACGACCGCTGTGTCTTTAATGCCTCCATTGCTAAAAATTGATTTTTACTATAGTAGGATCTGGTTTAGCATCACGGTAAAGGGACAAACGACTGTACACATTGTGATGTCACATTCAGTTTACGGTACACTCACTTGCCTCATACGTCCAAGTCATTGTTTCTCTGTTTTCAGGTTACATAAATTCTGGTCTTTGTGGTAGCTAAATTGTTGTCTCTTACAATTGTTTTCTCTTACAATTGTTGTCTCTTACACTTGGTTATCCATGTGGTAATTATCTTGCTGCTTAGAACGTCTCGTATTGAATCTTTTGTTGTGACAAGCCTCTAACCCTGTAACTGAGAAGTATTTTTGGTACAGGAATTCACTCACACTAACTGTCATACAAACGCCAGCTTCCACTCACATTGTTCTCCCCCCGGTAACTCTGTACCTGGGAACATTACATTACAGGCAGAACTGTCCCCTTGCTGATGGAATTAAAACGTCTTCTCTTGTGAAGTCTTGATATATTTGCCTTACAACTACTAATACAAGAACCATAAAGACTACGCCCAAACTGACCATTGTAGGTCAGTTTGACCTTTGTAGGTCAGTGTGAGCATAAACATTTTACTTTATTTAGTCCAAACATCCATCCATTCTCATCTGCTTATCTGTTACCGGGTCGTGGGGGCAGCAGTCTCCATGACCGCCACCCAAATCGCGCAAAATCACCCAAAATGTGCAATTTATCCACAGGTGAACTGCAGTTACAGATTCTATAAGACCGACAAGTGACAGGTGAAAGGTTAGATCCACCTGTGATTGTGCCAGGACAAAAATACCAAAAACCTGTTCCAGCACCCTCACAAGTGAGAGCGTTGTGTGACGGTCACCTGGTGCGCTGGCCTCAGGATAGCTGCTAGATAAGCAGGCTAGGTGATGACAGCTCCAACACAATTGGACATGCTCAAATACAACACATCCTTGCCATTTCATGTTGGCCCAATATCTGCCACAGGGCACTGCTGTGCTGCACTGTGCAGCTCTCAGATGAGGTTACAGATTAGTTTCTATTTATAAGTGGGACCTTACAGCAGCCCAGTGACCGGCAGAGCAGAGGAGATAAACTATGTACAGGACCATAAAATCAGGACATAAAATCAAAGATAAAAGTGAGAAATGACCACCTTAAAATGCTGCACATGCACAGTCCTAGAACTGAACTATGTATTTAAATTATTCTTCAAACATTTATATATTAAAGCTGTGTCACATTGTGACATGTTTTGTTGTTTATCGGCAGAAGAATGAAATAGTTTGACTTTAGAGAGTTTTTTTTTTTGGTGTTAAATGTAAAGTGGTGAAGTTGGGAACCTCAGGTTTCAAACTGGGTTTAGACGCAGTGACTTTATGACTTCCATGGTTACGATCTCAACAACATTGATTCTGCTAAACATGGAATAAACATGAAATATCTGCAATGTTTGCTTGGTGGTGAACCTTACTATCACACAGTGGCACGATGGCTGTAGATCACATGTGGCGAGGACGTCCTCTACCCCCAACCCTAATAAGAGGGTTGTGTCGGGGGGGCATCTGGTGTAAAAACTCTGCCAAATCACTATGCGGACTCCCGCTCTGACGACCCCTGACGAAGGCAACAGTTAAAAGGGATTTTCACAGTCCACCAGATGTAAGTGGCCCAAGGCCCACTGTGGCATTTTGTCGCGTTTTCAAAGGCCAAAGACTTTTCAATGAAAATTGCATTTTAATGGAAACCAGCAAATTAAAGAGAACACAAAAAGCCAAGATGAACTTGGAAATTCTTTTAACAACAAACAAAGCTAATTAACTAGACCCTGGAGATTACCAGGATACACACGCAGAACCTATGCCATTGAGAGTACTATTGTAAATTATAACCAACCTTGTAGCAACAAGGTGAGATCTTTAGATCTAATGGCTGTTTTTCTTGTTCTTATTTGTTTTCGCTGCTTCTGTGAGTAGAGCTTTGTTTGGCGTCTCCTACCAATGTATCATTCGAATTTCATAAAGAAGCAATTACTGCGAGAAAAAAAGGACCCTGACTAGCTGTTATAATCCTACATTTTTGTGTTATGGATTATGGATCAGAGACGATATCCAAAATGTTTCCCAGATCAGATTTTTTTTTCCTCATAAAGAGCTGCGGCCCATTTTGTTTTAGGCGAGGCGTTGCACCTGACCTTGGTACATTACAGTTTTGGTTCATTGGGCAAACAGTAAAACAATGTTGTCTAATAGCTTTATTACCATTTAAAAGTCGTATCATTTCACTGAATGGGCTCCTGTTGGATATGGGCCATTGAATTCTGCCTCCAACTCATGGCTAGTTAAAAGCTTTCTACACTGAGACACTTGTTCTCAGTCCATCACTTCCTGCTTCTCGTTTAAACGTATGTGTTGCACTCTGCAGCTGAAGGAAAACGGTTAAACATTTAGGTTCTGTCAAAAGTGAAGGGTCAACTTGGACTTGACAAATGTTCTGTTCTGACAAAACTTCTGTTTGTTTGTTTTTGCAGCCAATGAATGCTCAGAAAGAGCTGTTCACATTTACATCAGAGACATTAACAATGTAACGCTTGTGCTGCTCCACTGTAATAATCAAATTAGCTGAAAATAATCTGTCAGAAACACAGTACAGTACATCCAAACCAGGAGTAACCATGGATAATAAAAAAATAGTCATGGGAACTGAATTAGGCAGCGATAGCTTGGCTTTCATTAATTAAAATAAGTAAATAAGTAAATCACTAGCCAATCAGTATTTATTTACAGACAAACAATTGGACTTTGAAACGCTGTTAAAACAATCCATGTATAATGCACGCATAAAAAAAAGTTTTTCATACAGTGTAAATGATCAAACCTACCGTGTCAATAA